AGGTCATACAGTAAGAGGTGGGGCCAGAATTCAACCCCAGGCCCACTGTCCTATGGCCATATGCTCTAGTCACAGTCGTGGGTACATAAACCAGAGAAACACGGGCCGACCCATAAACGCAATTTATAAGTTGATATAAGCAGGTAGCACACAGCCAGCTACAGCTGAGCTGACGTTTATGTTCAAATACAAAATCCTGGGTCATAAAGGAGACTTTTTTCCTCTCTGCCTCTATTCTCTATTTTCCAATCCCAGTACTACTTCCTCCGCAGAACCTTCCAGAACTCTACTATCTCTCCACTTGCTGTGGTTCCCCAAGCTGTCCAGCATCGGTTTTTAAAAATTCAGATCACAGGGCTTAAACTCAGAACTATGGAGAGCTCTAGTGATGGGGTCTGAAAATCTACATTTTTAACAAGCAATATGGGGGGATCTGATATGTGCATAGTTTTGAGAACCAGTGATGTAGCCCCTTGCCGCTCAAAAGTGTGATCTGTGGACCAGCAGTGCTGGTACCAACTGGGTGCTTGATAGAAATGTAGCATCTTGGACCATACCCCTGGCCTCCTAAATCAGACTCTGCATTTTAACGAGATGTCCAGGAGATTTGCATGCACGTTAAAGTTTGAGAAGCTCGTTCCGTCCAACCTGTTAGGCATAAAAAGTGTCCTCAGATGAGCAGTATCGGCATCACCCAGGAAGTTGTAGAAATCAAATTCTTGGGCCCCACCCTCAACCTACTGAGTCAGAAACTATAGGGGTGGAGGCCAGGACTCTGTATGTTAACGAGCTCTCTAGGTGTTCTGACGCACGCTCAAGTCTGAGAGCCACTGCCTGCCTAGACACAGAGATTACAAAGCGCTTTCTCAGTCGGGAACCTCTTTGATCCTGGGCATCAGTTGCCCTGTGCTGGATGCCAGGATGATCAAAGGAGAGCTGGGCCTGGAAGAGCTTTGACAGCTGTCGATGCCACACAAGGCAGAACGGGCAAGGCTTGTTTCTCCCTGCCTACCTTCTGACAGCAGCTTTGAAGGGCTGAGTGAATCCTGTTCCTCAGCCGGTGGCTCCATCGTGGGCCCTTCTCTTTATTGCATCTACATATTCATTTGCCTTATCCCTGCCCCTGTCCCCCAGGACCCTGCCCTCCCCCACAGCACAACCATTCCATTGAGTTTCATGTCTTCTTGCAAAGAATGGGTTGTCAGCGTGCATCGAGTTTACATTTTCCCTCATGATGTTGTGCTATGGACCTCTTTCTGCGTCTTACTCTTTCACTTAGTGTGGTACTTGGACGGGCTCCCTCCATCGGTAGTGTGCACCGAGTCTCTGGCTGCTACGCACCCCCCAGGCCTCCCCCACCCCCACCCGCAGAGTATCTCTGGGCTGCACCCAGCTCCTCCAGTGCCCTGGGATGAGATGCCCAGGTGGCTTCCAACTCCTCAGTGCCACCAAGGACGCTGTGATAAACATCCCCCTCCGTGTCTCCCTGTGGACCAGTGTGAGTTCTCCCCGTTTTGTAGATGGAAAAGCTTGAAATGCTTCCAGCTCCTGTGACTTGCCCAGAACGTACAGCACGGTGATTAAGAGCATGACTCTGGTGTCAGACACACCTGGTCGGGTAACCTGGCACCAGTCCCTTCACCTTTCTGGGCCTTGGTTTTCTCATTCATAAATGGAGATGATGATGTCACCTACCTTATGCATTTGTTATGAAGATTAAATAAATGAAAACTACTCAACAGAGTCCCTAGCACAGGGTAAGTGCTCGGTGTTCACTGTAACTTTACCTCTCTCTCCAGAAACTGCCTTTTGACCTCTTTCACATTGATTTTTGTTTTCTGTTGTGGTCTTGCATTATTGGTAACTTTCCTCGCATGTCCCCTTTTCAAACTGACCTCCAGCAATGACCCTAGAGGTACTCAGAAAAGGCCTGTGGTCTGGACCGGAGAATGAGCAAAGGCCGGGGCTGGTTTAGGAGTTTAGTGCAGGAACTTGGGCCGGCGGGGCTTGTCCAGGATAGGAGTCAGGGATGGGCTTGCAAGACTCTGGGGTTGGTGACGGTGTGGGGGGCACTACGACAGGAGGCGGTCTGCAGATGTCAGTGTTCTCCTGGCCCTGGTGGGGAAGTAGCAGTGCAGGCCTCGCACAGAATAGGTGCTTCATATATGGTTGTTCTTTTATGGATTGTATTTCGGCCCAGTTTTAAAGTGGTAGGAGGAAGAGAACCCTGTACCCTGGAGGGAAGGTGAGGGGTTGTTGCCTCACTTTGCAGAGAATCCCGTGTGTATCCTGGAGAGGTGCCAGGACGGAGAGGCTCCCGGGCCTGAAGTGCAGATGGGAGAAGGGAGTCTCGGGGCCAAGGCCTGGGCCTCACAGGTGGCAGAGACTGGCTGGTGCCAGAAGAGGGCGCCACACGCCTCCAGACAGAGCTGAGGCTGTGCTGCCCTGTGAGAATAGTGGCAGGCTGGGGCTGGGGAGGCCCAGGGTTCCATTTGCCTGGGACTGAGGGGTCTCTAGGACAAGAAAGACCCGGGCAACCTGAGATGAGCTGGTTACCCTGGCTGGAGGAGGCAACCACAGAAGCGGTGCACACATGCATACGTGTACCTCACACACACAACACAAAATGTACCCACAGTGACACCACAAATTCACACACATGCACAACACACACCCACGCACTTCACAGCACAAGCATAACACACACAACACGCTTGCGCATGTACATGTGTACCACTTGCACAACACATTTGTCACACACACACAACACACTCACATGGTATACATGTGCAACACACACCAAATACACGCGCACACATGTACCACACAAACATGCAAAGCAAGCAGTACATCACAACACACGCAAGTGCATACAAACAGTACAAGTACACATCACACCACATGTACAACATACATAATACACACATGAGTGCATTATAAATGTGTATACATTTATAACACACATGCAATACACTCACATAATACACACACAGCACATACAACATAGTCACAACGCAATATACACACATACACGTGCCACAAAAATGTAAGTAAAACAAGTACCACATCACAACACACACATGCACAATGAAGGTGCATGTCATACCACATGCACAACACACACAATGCATACGTGTACCACACATTACACTGCATATAAACATACGTACATACATAAACATTAACACATCCACAACACACATGCACAGGTAACAACACAACACACAGCTTGTAGCTGTGCATATCTCACCACAACATACACAGGCACCAGGCCCTTAGGCACTACATAATGCATTACATACAAAACATGCACAGCATCTGTTTAATACACACACAACATAATGCACCCACAAGTATGCATATGCACAAACACACATACACAATGCAGACACACGTGGTCACATACACACAAGCACCTTTGGTAGTCACAGACCTCTTGTTTGAGGCAATGTTTCTGATTAACAAAATTAGGATGCTCATTCTTGCTCTGCTCATTCTTGCTCTAGGCCAATGGAAAAATGTATCCAAGAATTTAGAACTGTATATTCATTCATTCAGCAATCATTTCTTTACTGTGTGCTGGGACCTGGCGGTTCACGGCATGGCATCAATGACCATTAGCTCCGGTTGGTATGAGTGTTATGAATTAAAACTCCAGAGAGCACCATACTTCAATGGGGTGGGGCTGGCTGGGTCTGGGAGTTTCCTGGAAAGAGCTTTTCAGGCCAAGACCTGGAGTCAGAGCAGCAGGGTTGGGACGAGGGAGAGGTGACTGAGGCACCAGGGACACCGCCTAAGGAGGCTTCACTCTCGGGTGCTGCCCGGCATTTGCACGACCCTAAGAGTGAGTGGCTGAGCAGCTAGGCTGAGACGAGCCCCATCCCGGATCCAAGGAGCAAATGGTCCTGCTCCCAGCTGCTGCTCTACTCGGATCCTCTCACCCAGAGGGTCAGAGGGGGTGTTTGCTTCCCAGGAAACTCTCTGGGCTCTGGGAAGAGTGGTGGCTTACAGGGAAGGGACCTAGATCACCCAAGATAACCAGCTGCATTGCCCCTGGACGCTGGTAACCAGGCCCCCTCCTCTGGGGCCAGCCGTGGTGATGGTGGGGGAGGGCAGGAGATGTACCGGACAAGCCCACCATTCCCCTGGGCATAGTCTGCATGTCATCACACTCCCAGCTTGCCTCCTGGGGGTGAGGCCACCTGCCAGGTTAGGCTGCATATTCTAGCTCATGGGCACTGGAACTGTCCCCTTGGTCTAGTGGAGGGTGGCACAGAGTGGTGGTTCAGGCAGACTGGAGCTTCTGCCTGGATTCAAATCCCTGCATTGGCACTTACTATCTGTGTGACTGTGGGCAAGTCACTTGGCCTCTCTGTGCCTTATTTTCATACCTATAAAATAGGCATGATGGTAGTTCTAGCACCCATTCTATGGAGTTTTAAGGACTTTATGAGTTAATACATGAAAAGCTCTTTGATTAAAGCCAGGCACATGGCAGGAGCCACAAAAATCTTAGCTGCAATAGTTATTGTGATACAAAATAAAAGCAAACACTGACAACAATCATAATATCAAATGGTACTGGAGTCAGAAGTGCCTTGGAGAACATCTGCTCCAGGCCTCCTCTGCATTGCAGAGATAAAGCTGTTTGACCCGATAATCCAGACACAGGAGGACTAGAACCCAGGACGGGGAAGAGAAGGAACAAGTCAGAGGTCCTCCTTTTCTGTCTCTAGGACAGTGGTCCTCATCCGGAGGACTGGTTAAATACAGATCACTGGACCCCACCCAGGGTGTCTGACTCAGCGGGCCTGTGATGGGATCTGAGACTCTGCATTTCTAACAAGTCCCCAGGTGATGCTGCTGCTGCTGGTCCAGGGACCGCACCTTGAGAAGCGCTGCCCTGAGGACAGTGGAGGCAGAGCGCAGGAAGGCTGCATCCCGGAGTTTTGCGGATTGCACTCCAATAATGGGGGAAGGGAAGCAAGGGCCTTACTTACAGCGGATGCCGTACCTCGGGCAGCGCCCTCTGCAGGGGGATGCGGGCACTGAGCGCCTCCTCCAGGCTGAGAGGGGTTAGCTCATCTTCAGATACCTCCTGGTCCTCCTCCTCGGCCCCCCAGTCCCTCTCTGGGACCTCCTTGTCCTGCCTCCTGCTTGACCGCTTGATGAGCCGGTAGCTGCCACCTCTCCTGCCTTGGCTCTGGTTCCTTCTGACCCTGGGTGAGGCCACAGCCACCAGGAGCTGATCCTCCCGCAGCGAGATAAAGGGCGGCAGGCCCTCCAGGGGGTCATAGTCTTGGCCCTCATCCTCGGCCTCAAGCACCCATTCCTGGGAGTCCCCAAAGTTCAGGCGGTACTCAGCGTCAGGGCTGCGCTTGGTGACCTGGGCTGTGACGGCCTGGTGCAGGGCGTGCGGGGGGGGATGCAGCATGGCCACCAGCAGCAGCACGCATCCCAGCATCAGGAAGAGGAGCAAGAACTGCAGTCTGCGTGGTCCATGCCTGCATCGCTTCCTTAGGAGCATGTTGCCGGAACTTGCCAAATGCAACAGGTCATGTTCAAGTTCACTTTCTCCTCCTGCTCCAGGTTCCTTCAAGCTGACAGCAGAACCTGGGTTCCTGGTTCCACCTGGAAGTTCTTTGATCGTCACTTAACCTGCTCCTGTTTTCCCATCTGACATTTGCCAACAGCGTGTGTAAGACCAGCTTCACTTACAATCAGAGAGCCACGGGACCCAAGTCCCACCCAATCCTCTGTGAGTGGATTCCTTTAATTGCCTTCTGAAAGCCCACTCACGGGGACTTCAAACTGAATTGTTTGCCCCCCTTTTACTCCTTTTTATCCTTGGGAAAAAAAATCGTTATTCCATTCTGCTCAGGGCTTTAGTCCCATGTATTTCGTTTCCCCCCTGCACGCGTGATCAGGTTGCTATGCGATGTGGGGGGGAGCTGGCGGGTCCTCGGTCCAGCAGAGCTGACAGCCGTCCTCCTTTGGACGCTTCCAGTCAGGTCAGATCAACAGATGTGAAGCCGGCAGGCAGTGCCTGGTTTCCTTTCACACATAGCTCCGCGCTCAGCCAGAGGACCTCTGCCAGACACAGCCGGAGCCAAGCGCGCGCCTCGCTCCCGGTCCTAATGCCCTCACTGTTCCCAGGCTCTGTAGAACCCCACAGAACACAACTCCGGGGGAAAATCAAAGCCGTCACTACTGGGACCAAACCCAAACAGGAACATCCCAGGAGTTTGGATTTGAATCTCGTTCATAGGAAGATTTCTTTCCCCACCCAAAGGAGCAGGACGTATGCCCTCCTGATTTCAGAGAGGCTGTATGTGTGACGTAAATTCAGGGAGCTAGCTGTCTGTTACACCCTCAGCCTCCCGCAGATGATCCGTGAAGCTGGACCAGACTCTCCCTCCCTTCCCAAGGACCACAGTTCTTGTCCTTCTGAAAATGAAGGAAGCTGGGGACACACTCTTGAAAGCCCCTTGTGCTCACAAGAGCATCTGAATGCCACACTGCCACTGAGGGAGGGAGGTCAGAAGAGGAGGGCATGCTCCTTCAGTAATAAAACTTCCTCATTCAACCAACATATATTAATTGAGCACCTATTATGCCAAAGCGAGTCTGGGGACTGGGAGGACAGCAATGAATAAAACAGACCAAAATGTATGTCTCGTGGAGCTTGCATTCGAGTAGGAGAGACAGACAGGTAGATAATCGAATAAAATATACAGCGGGTCAGACAGTTTCAGACCTAAGGAGAAAAACAGAGCAGGGAAGGGGACTGGGGAGCGTGGGGCTGGAGGAGGACAATGGCCGCTGAGTGGGGAGCGGAGGTTTCACAGGAGAGTTACGATTTGTGGAAGGAGGAGGGTGAGGCAGCTATCTGGGGATGAGCATTTTGGGCAGAGAGGATAACAAAAGCGAAGGACTGGAGGTGAGAGTGTACCTGGCCTGTTTGAGGAACATCAGAGCACCAGGTGGCTGGAACAGAGTGGGCAAGGGGGAGAGTGATGGGAAATGGAATGAGAGGGTAAGAGGGGAAAGAGGCAAGGGGGGATCCGGTGGGACCTTGGAGGACATTGTAGGGATTTTGGCTTTTCTTCCGAGTGAGATGGGACCCCTTGGAGGGTTGTAAGGAGAGGAAAGACACCATCGACTTGGACTTTACCTGGATTGCTCTGGCTGCTGTGCTGAGATTAGACAGCGGGAAAGCAAAGGGCAGAGTCAGGGAGCCCCACTAAGTCGTTACTTTAGTGGTTAAGGATGAGGGCGTGGACCAACACGGCATCAGTGGAGGTGGTGAGAAATGATCAGCTTCGCAACATATTTTAAGGAAGAACCTGTAGGATTTGCTGATGTCTGGTGTGAGAGAAAGACGAGTTGAGGATGATTTCAAGTTTTTGGTCTGAGCAGTTGGAAGAATAGAATTGCCATCGACTGAGACGGGGAAAACCGGGAGCAGGTAGAAGGAGGTGAAGAGCGGTGGCTCAGTTTGGGACATGTGAGGCTGGAGATGTCTTTTAGACAGCCAAGGGGAGAAGAGGGTAAGCAGCTGGACATACGACAGCTGGAGGTCGGGGGCGAGGTCTAGCCTCAGAGGGAAAGTCGGACACCAGTAGCACATAGAAGATGTTCAAGGCCATGAGACCTAAGATCACGGAGGGAGTGATGAGGATGGGAGAGAGAAGGGAATCCAGCATGCTCAGAGTGCTGGGGTTTCTGGCTGGAACAGTTGACTAAGGGTAACCACTCATCACTGTGAGGTGGGTTTCTCCTGATGGCTTGTCAGGAGAAGGCATCATCACAAGGCTTGTCATCAGCAGTGGAGTGGGGACAACCAACACTGGGGGCTCCTGATGTGAATTTCTCATTGTTTCTGTTTTGATTTTGATCTTAGAATGTGAGCCTAAACGTCTCATGGAAAAAAATGTTTTTCGTTTTGACTCAGTTGCTTCTTCCATTGTTTGCGTGTGTGTGTATGTGTGTGCAAGTATGTGTGTTTTCCTCGAAGCCATTCATAGAGCCAGAGGTGAAATAGTGGGTTATATGAGGCTGCTCTGCTGATAGCCCAGCAGGGGCCCGGATGGACAGCACTCAGGAATTGCTAGATTGGACCATATTTCCCAAGCCCTACATCAGGTGTACTGGGGGTGGGAGTTGCGTGACTTTTAGGTTCAAGAGGCAGACACCCTGGAAGATGAAGTTTAGAATTTCTGGGGTATTTTGAGTTTCGTGAGGATGATGAGACAGAAAGCTTCAATTCCAGGAGGCTTTCAGAGTATGCTCAGTCCCCTCCCTTGTGACAGAGCACCCTCCCCCACCCTCTCCGGCAACGCTGACCTCAAACTCACCAGGCACACCCCCCTTCAGGGCCTTTACCTGGCCCACCCTCCACTTGATGGCTCTTGCCCCAGAAATCCAGCCATATGGCTTATTTCGTCACTTTTGTGTTTACTCGATTGTCACCTATTCAGTGGGGCTTCCCCTGACCCAGATTTTGGCATCAGAAGCCCCTCCATCTATGTGTGATGTTCTCCATTCTCTTCCCCTGCTCTCCTTAAGAATCTCTGTGGCTCTTCTCAACACTCGACAAGTAAGATACTGAGTCCTTTCCTGTCTGCCCCCTATCCCACCCCCTGAAAGGTAAGCCCGACATGGGGAGAGGTTCTATCTGCTCACTGCTGTTTCCCCAGAGACTGGCCCTGCGTCTGGCATACACTAGGCACTCAATAAATGTTTGTCAAATGAATATAGAGACAACTAGATGGCTATTCTGATTCAAGTCAAGCAAAGTCTGCATATCCCCTGAGACTCTAGGATTTGGATCAGCCCTAAAAGGACTCTACACAACCCATAATCCTGGATGATACTTTAAGGCTGCCCTAAAGGAAATAAAATTCCAGGTGCTCTTCAAATGGACAGAGTCACCTCAAAAACCCTCGAACTGGTCCACACCTGCTGGGATGGCTCAGGGTCAGAATGGACCATCTTGGTATGACCACCATAGAGGGTCTCGGCCGTGCTGCCCTTGGCTCTGACTCCCGCAAGACTCCTGGGGAAACTCACTCTAATGGACCTGTGACAGTTCCCCCCAAGCGTTCATTACACAGTTAATGGAAGGAATCCCATTCACGGACAATGCAACAAGTGTTACATCTCCACACAGCATAGGACTCAGAGTTTCCCACAAATCCCCAGGCTTTTCAGAGTCACTAGGCCTGGAGGGAGCAGCAGGCTTTCCTGACCCCAGGCCGCCAGGACCATGTCCCGCATGCGTGCTGTTCTGCCCCATCCCAGCTCCTGGCTCGCAGGGGTGTTACTTCGCTGCTCGTATATCTTCTCATGGCCTGATCCTCCCTTCATCACCCAGATGTCAGAAGTGCATCCCCGGTCTACAACCCTGTCTCCTGGCTTCTGTCCTCATGTAGCTGGACTTTTCTTCTCCATGTCTTCTGCTCAGGAACAAAACCAAGCAAGCCATGGATCCCCAAACACAACACAAACGTCCTTTCCATCTCCACCTTATTCCTCTCAGCCTCAGAAATGAGACTTCCTCAAGGGACAATCCATCTGTTACTCATTGCCCAAAGCCTCAGAAGCTACACTGCCCCATCCAGGGATCTTTGAGGGAGAAGGGACTGGACACAGTACTGTGGTACCTGCCCCATCATCAGGCTCTCTCTTCCTCTCTTTCCCACCTGTGTTCCCATTATGGGTTGAATTGTGTCCCCCTAAAGGATGTTGAAGTCCTACCCGCTAGTACCTGTGAATGTGGCCTTATTTGGAAATAGGGTCTCTACAGATGATCAAGTTAAGACGAGGTTATAGGGTGGGCGCTAATCCAATATTACTGTTGACCTTATACGAAGGAGAAATTTGGGCACAAAGACATGCACACAGGGAGAACGCCATGTGAAGATGAAGTCAGAGGTGGAGGTGATGCATCTACGAGCCAAGTAACACCAAAAATTACAAGCAAACCACCAGACGCCAGGGTATAGACATGGAACGGATTCGCCTCACAGCCCTCAGAAGGAACCAAACTTGCTGACACCTTAATTCCAGATTTCTAGCTTCCAGGGTGGTGAGGAAATAAATTTCTGTTGTTGCAGCCACCCAGGCTGTGGTACTTTGTTACAGCTGCTCAGAAAACTAATACAGTTCCTTTCGCACATACCACCTCCCTCCCTCCTTTCCCTTCTCTCAACTCTCCCTCTCCTTCTGTCCTTCCATTCTCTCTCCTATCCTATCTCTTTGCCTGTGTTACACTAACTCTTCAGTCCAGGGTCTTGGGCCTGGTCTTCCCATGACAGAGACAGCCCTGAAGAAAGGCTCCTCTAAGGACTGGATCTGGACTCTGGCCTGGGGTTCTCAGTTCCAGTTTAAAATAAGCCAGATCTGGTGAAGTCTCAAATGTGGACCACAGGTCCCTTGTGAGACCTGTAGCATCATTTATCCAGGCTCAGAGCTCAGAGAGCTGAGAGAGTGAACACCCCAATCAGAGAGCTGTTGGGATTTCTCCATGTTGCTTCCTTTAGCTTTTCATCTGCCTGTTTTCCCATAGGCCACAGCGCATATGGTATGGAAAAGTCTCCTATTTGCCTAGAAAAAAGTTGGAATATTTCAGTTCATTTGGTAGCAGGTTAAAGCACCTGAACAAATCAGAAACCGAGAGCCTTCACTGAGAGAACAGTGGACATCAGGTAGTAAATAAACACTCCACCACGCAATGGGAGACCTGGCCCAGGCAATTCAAGAAGATGTCATTGACAGCTGTCGGCCTGGTCACCATCCTGGATCCCATCCCAAGCTAAGGTGAAGAGAGGAGCAAGAAGCAAGGAGGGTGGGGAGAAAATTCCCCAAGACACTTAACCACAGGCATGTTTTCTGTTTGACTTTAGTATAGCATATGGTGATGGCTGTTTGCTCTTTGGTCTTCCCTATTAACGGTGGTTCCATCTTTGTCTCTCTCACACCCAGCACAGTGCCTGGTTCAGCAACACACGTCAAATAAATGGCTCTCAGAGATGAGATCTGATGTACACTATACATCATGCACTAAATGAACTGTTGACAAAAACGGAACACCCTGGGATCAATAAGAATGT